TGCTCAAATTAATCACAGGTTCCATTTTGTGTTTTTATTGAGTTTTCAGATAATCAGTTTTTGCTTATGTGTGCGCCATTGTGTCACCATGGTAAGTGCTGAACATTCTGCCATAGACATACATACAAACACCCCCAGCGTGATGGATCAGTACTCTGAAAAAGTAAACCTTAATGTGATGTCATTTTTGTCTGTTTTTGTTTTACTTTATAATTGAGAAAGTTTTACTCTATAAAATATCGCTGAATTACGGTAATGTATTTGACTATGTGTGAAAGAAAATTAAAGATTTCATTGTTTTTTGAAGGGGTATGTTGTCAACAATCATGAATAATGGTTCAATTGTTTTGGTTGATATTGTCACGTCCCTAAAAATAGTTCTACAGTTATTCAAATCACTTTGAGCCTTGTCTTTATTATGCCATTTTGTGTTTCTGAAATGGTTGTTGAGATGTGGCCAGCTTCTGCTTATTATTGTGAGCAAATGATTGAGGATTAGTATACAGGATAAAAGGTTTGTGGTTGGAAGATTATATTTCATTTTAATTTGCAAAGTAACTGCACATTGGCTCTTTGTGTGACTAAACGCTTGCAGACATCCATCATGCTTTTCTTTGTTTATTCATCTATCTTTGATTATCTCCATCACTTTTGTTGCCATTGTTCACACTGTTGTAACTGTAATTCATTTGATGTATTTGATGTATCTGTTTGGTCATGCTAAACAGAGGGACAAACGCAGGGGAATTTCTTGCAGACCTGAAATAAACTCTCCAACAAAAGACACTGGGGAGAACCGCGATATGCACTTCTTTCTATTTAACAGTGGCTTGAAAAGGATGAGGGACTGAGACCAAAGACTTAAGTGTAGTGTCAGTCTTTACCTGGGTGGCAAACGGGGCTGTGTGTTGACACAAGCTCTGAACAAGCTCACAAATCAAAGTGTTTCCAGAATAGGGAGATTATGGAGTCAGAATAGGTCTGCGATTCTACCTGTGCCTCTGGGCTTTTGTTGTCCCCACCTGGATGAACTGTTAGTGTTGCATAACTTACACAGACAGCTGCTCGCACAATAAACACACACACTGGGTTGTATATTGTTGAGTGGGACATTCCCTTATGCTTTGATTAGCGTCCACAGTTATCTCAGGGCATGTTTTATTATTGGTCCGTTGATATGTTTGGTTACTATGGATACTTATACTTTTGCTCAGGCCTGTCGACAGAAATTTGGGGGCCCAGGGCAAGAAGCCTCACATACCCCCCCCCCCCCCCCATTTAATATTAATCAATAAGCAGAGGTTCCAATTCTGGGACCCTAAGACCCCTCAACTGCCCTGCTTTTACTGCACAGTATACTTTAACATATATTTCAGTGAAGTACATTTAGACCTGTCATGATAAATACTTTATTGATTTAACGTTCAGTATATGAAAGCTGGGACAATATTTTGGGGGGTCTATATTTATATTTATAGGGTCCTTATGGGTCCTATACCATGAGCTTTAAGCTATAAAAAAATTAATAACTTCAATGACTCGTTACAGATACAAACTAAATACTCAAGTGTTTCATTCTGCCTATGTATTTTTAAACAATATTGTAGATTTAGAGTAGTTTTTGTTGATTAAATCTGCTCTTGGGTGATTGTGTAAGAGGCATAAATTAGTTTTAATATTATTGTTTGTCATCTATAATTTTTTCAACAATATATCATGCTTCAAAATGTGTTGTCGTGACATGCATTTAGAGTGACTGGGGCTGATTGTGGTTGTTTTATAACCAGAAGATTGGTCATTGAACTCCACCACCTGCTTGTCTCTGTATGAATATGTTATTGCTTTGTTTGGAATGTTCCTTTCACTTATCATGAATTTATTTAAGTATTTCTAAAAACAGACATTCTTATTGTGAGCAGGTTCACCTCTCCGCAGATCTGACCTGTAACTAGTGTCATCACTTTCTTGTCATACTGTAAAACATCCCAGGCAAAGAAATAACATCATGAAGTGGAGTAGAGTATGAGGCTACGTTCAGACTTGTATCTGATCTTTTAATGACAGTCTGAACAACACAGATCCGATTTTTTTCAAATACGACCCAGGCTATTTGGGTGTTTGGTCCTAAAACAGATACATATTCAATCTTTTGACATGCGACTTCAGTCTGAAAGGCCAGGTCACATTCATCCCACCTCGCCGGCTATTGTGCGGTAACAAGCACCTTTTGCCCAATGCTGACATGTTTGCTCACGGAAATAGGCTGGTGAAGACGTGTTTCCTCTCGCGAGAGTGGTACAAGTAAGCATTCACAAATGTACACAAACGCTCTTCTTGTCATATGAAATTGTGTATGAACGCTGTGTCAGTGAAGCAGTGAAGCACAGAGCAACGTAACGCATCTACACTTTCCTTACTAAAGACATTGCTGCCACTACCCCACAAAACGCAGTGGCCAAATACCTCGTCCTATTCCTACTCAGTCTCCTCCTTAAAACAAATAAGCTGTACATATTCTGGCTCTGGTACGACAACAACTTTAAAATCTTCAGGTTCTCAATGCTAGTGTCCATGTTTAGGCGACTTCCATAAACACTGAGAATGATCACTGCTTGTGACATCGTCGTGTCCATCGTGACCACTTTTGGGGCGTTCAATGTTCACACTGGAGATCACATACAAGTTGCATTTAATTGGAAATGTGAACAATCTCTCAAAAAAAATCGGATTTCACAAAAAAAATCAGAACTGAGCATTAAACCCTGTAATCTGAACATAGCCTAATATTATTTTTGGATTAACAGTACTTAATGGTGTCCACCTCTGAACTGCTTTCTCTTAAGGCATGGGTAATAGTCCCAGTAGCTCTGTTTTCAAAGACATGTCTGGATAATTTACAATGTTTAAAGCAGTCTCACACAATGCACAAACATAAGTCTTTCTTGTCACTTGCCTGAACCCATTTCCTGTCCTCTGATTTTTGGAAAGGATCTATATCTGCTTCACCTGTTTTGTATTCCCACTGTATTGGAAAAACAAGATGGTGTGTTTTGACAACTTCACATTTGAGTGCCTTTTCCTCCCCTCGTCATCCCTGCTCCATTTCTCCTTTCCTTGGCTCGTTAACTGAACTTTGTCCCACTTGAGGATATTGGCGTGGACGCAGATTTACAGAACAGGGCGGGGCATGGGCTTTCGGAAGTGAAGCTAGCTCTCCCTGACCCGATGTGGTGATAGGCCCCCAGGCTCGAGATGCATCGCCCCACATAAGATGCCTGGGAGGGGGTAAGCGGAGGAGATTACACCTGATAGGAAGGAGACTTAGCGTAAAGTCAATTGGATCTTTTGTGGAATAATCCGCTCTTTTCATCCAAGTCATTGTGATGAGTGATAAAGCCTGGCGTACGCATGAAAACGAGTCATGTATTAGCGTTTCTGCGGGTCTAATGTTGCATGAAAGCTATATTATAGTATAGGGTTTCATCCAGTGGGGAAGAATGTGTATATTTGACAAAACCTATGATGTGAAATTGTAGTCACCGTATTGAAATGCAGTTTGTTTTTTTATATTTTACCTCAGCAAACATATATTCAGCTGATGTCATGAAGCTAACTGAAAGCACTACTCTGTTAGGAGCTTTGTTACTCAAATTAGACTTAATCTGAGTTTTATTTTAACACAATCTGACAGAAAGAGCTGACTTGGTTGGAACTAAAACGGGTGAGATGATTATCGAAACACCTAAACACGGTCATAAATACTCATATTGATTACAGGTTCCTGAAAATGTGCTATTTAAATCCATTTTGTGTTTTTTCTTGAGTTTTCAGACATGTAAAAATGTTTTTGTCTTTGTTGATGTGTGCACCATGGTAACTTCTCTGTGCATTTCTATTGGTGAAATGTTCAACACCTCTAGCATGAGGTCAGTGCAAAGTACATTATCTATAGTGCTTTTTATCATAGACGCTTCAAACTACCACTATTCACACATTTGCACTATAACACTTTCATACAGGCTATTTGCAAAAAGACTGATACAGTCAAATGTATAATAATAGGCTGCTGTTAAAATACTAAAAAATAAAAGTCACTATTAAAGACCCTATGTTAAACAAAATTGACTCTTGTGAGCTTTAGGCATTGTTAAAATATTGTTACCGCATCATAAACAAACCTGGATGTGTGTTTTGTTCACACATGTTTATAATTCCTGTCCTTTATTATTAGTATTTCTATATCTCCAAAGTAAAAAAAAATGCTCTCTTCCATCTTGTGATGTCATGAAGTGGTAGTTTTCCTTTTGTTCAGTAGAGACTGACAATTCCAGGATTGAAATCATACACCTTCACTAGAATCATTTGGATGGTGTTTAAAAACACAGTGGAGCACTTCTTGTATTGCCACATGACATCATAAGGTGGAACAGAGTGTTTTCTGTTTGAGAAAAGAACTCAGTCTAAATATGCAGCTTGTGTGTTAAACATGTGTGAATGATACAAAACACAACTCCACGTATGTTTTTGATAGGGAAACAGCATTATAACATGAGAAAATAGCATAATATGGGCCTTTTAAAGCAACATCATGTAACTTTCCTCTCCTATAAGAGTCAGGTTTGTGAGCAAAACATGCTTTTATTTTAGTCTTAAAAGTTGCGAAGTGGTAATTTATTTGCAAAAGGTTTAACAATGACCTAGTTGCCAGTATTTAAAAGTTCAAACCATGACTCACATAGTAACATGTCATTTTAAAACTACTTCTGTCAACACTTTTCTCAACACTTTTCTCCTCTTTATCATGTTTCCACTGACTAAAACAAAAACAGCAAATTTCTATGAATCTCTAATCATTTATTTGAAAACATTCTGTATGATAAGAACTGAAAAAGGGATTTCCACACTGGACTCTCTTTACTATTATGTGTCAGAGCTTGCACAGTTCTTTTCTACTATACTTACTATGGTTATGTGTCCTTATTGTGTGTATTGCCTTGCAGGTGATGGATCTTGTGAACAGGCCATGCGTCTCCAAGCTCTTCTCAGGTAGGATCCTTTACCCCTGACAGTCATGTGATCTGCCCAGACACACGAACCACCGCTTGCTGGTATTGTTGTGCTTTATTTGAGATTGTGTACTGTACCACTGATCATATTTTAAGTTGTATGAAATGACACCGGATTCTATAAAGCTTTTGGCCTAATTTAGCCCATCTTAAGAAAATGTTATATGGCACATCCGGAAAGTTTAAACCACCGTGTAATAGTTATACAGACGATAAATTTCACTTGGACTTCCTTAGCGGCCTTTTGGACACACATACACTAGACCTGTGCTTTTTTGAAACTGAATAACTCATTGTTGTAGGGTTTGATATTAATGTTGGTTGAAAGTTTCATTTTCTTTTAGCATTTTTTCACACAGGGCGAAAAGAATAATGACTTACAGAGAAACATAACATGGGAGTTATGATTTTATTCAATTAGCCCAAAAAGTTAGTCATGTTTGTGTATTTCTAGTTGTCATATACAGCTTTATATCTAATAATGAAAGAATGCATTGCAATTCCCCTCCAAGTAAAGGTCAGAAGAGAGATCTGACCCTGTTCCTGTCTCACTCTCACAGTGATGTGATACCAGCAGCCGGACAGATTCCTGTAAGAGCCAAACACGGTGTTTTACTGGCCTTGTATCATCTTGCTCACTATGACTAGATGTACTTTTACTTTCATAAGAACATTGTAATTTGTTACATGACCACAGCTGATATTGCAAAGTTTGAATCTGCAAGTACATGTTTAGGCCTAGTTATTTGTGTTACATGTTAGAATCACTTATTCATTCAAATCATCATTTTATTGCATATTTTATGCTGCATTTTAATGTATCCTGTGTTCAAGATAAGGTAACTCATTTTATTATTTTGTATAGTTTATCATTTACCTAACATTACTGATCAGTCATTCTGTTAAGAAATACTTTCACTTTGATTTGAAGGCGGTACTTTGTGGTAGATCTTTGAACTTAGGCCGCTCTTCTTTGTGATTACTTTATTATGCACTTCATATGAATTGGTTAATGAATGAGCTTTTTGCCTGTTTTTTGAAATGAGGAAACATCTGGTTCAGTGCTAGTTGAAGCGCTCCAGATCTGGGCACACTGAGGCAGCAGGGCCCCGGTGGTTGGGTCTGTCAGCGGAAGACTGTTACTACACAGTGCACACATCATGCTTCACTGGTGCACACTGTCACAGATGCTGCTGCTGCTGCTGCTTTGTCTTCTTCATTTTCATCCTGTCAAACACTCTGCACTTACCTCCTCATGCAACCTTTGACTTTTTGAATGCACTTTACCTTTTCTTGCACGCCAATTCAAGGAGAAGACTTTGATTTAGTCTAGATCGATAGAACTCTATGGATGCAGAATATTGTTGGCAATATTGCTAAAAACTAAATACAACATTGTGTGATGGAAATTAGATTAATCTAACAAAATAATTTGACGATGTACTTTAGGGGTTCCTAATTTTTCATATAATCGTTTTGTTGGGGCATGAGACTAGCATAGATATTACATGACATGGGAGCTATTGGACAGATTATGAACTCTTTGCTGCTTTGAAGGCTTCAATGGTTTATATTCACCCGAATGGGAAAACACCAGCCCCTGTTCTTCCCAGAGAAGATGGTGGGAAGAATCGATGACTTCCTCAGTGTGCTGCCTCAGGGGGCAGGCGGACAAGTCTCACTGTTATTAATAGTTCTCCCTGGATAAGGCCTGTTTCTATTAAGAGATGGTTTTATCAAAGACCTCAGTGAACACACATTTCCTTCTCTTCCAGCTTTTGTACCCCAGCTGTGCTTTACTGTACATCATAAGTGTTTTGGCAGACAAAAGGGGACACTTGAGTGGGTCGTCATGGGGACACTTGACACGGTATATGATGTTTCTGTAGGTGTGGATGCAGCTCTTCCTAAAGCCCCAGAGCCATGTGTCAAACGTGATACGCCAAGTTCAATGGCACAAACACTTCTCTAAATGGAAGCTTGTGCGATTTCCCCTAGGGCACAGGTCTATTCATCTCAGCACTTTGGAGCAGAAAGTGAGTTACTTGTAAAAATACATTTAATCTTTAATTATACTTAATGATATGCTGCTGTTGCTTAGTGTGTTATTAACTAGATAATCAGAGAAGTGTTGTAAGGTGAAAAAGCTGTTAGAGAATGTCACTTACTGAAAGGAGAGTCATGTGGAGGTGTGACAGAGGTCCAATGGATTCTACATATACTATATACATAATTGTTTTTTTTGTTTGTTTGTTTGTTTTTGTTTTTATGAAACATGCACTTCTCTATAATGATTTTATACACATGATGACTTAAGTATATATTTTTAAAATTTTAATAATTGTTTGCATTGTTACATTTTGTTTTTTTGTTTTTTCTACTACTAAAACCTCTGACCAAAGTGCTGAGAAAGGCTTGAGTTCTTAGTGACATCAGAAAAATGCATTGTGGGAGAGCAGAAAGATGGTTACCCTGTGAGATGAAGGACAGAAGCTCATACAAGTAGCAAAATAAGCCGAACCAGCTGGACTTTCTGTGCTGGTTGAACGTCAGGCCAAAGACAGTACAACAGAGAAAGCAGAGGGTTATTGGCGTTGATGCTAAGACCAATGTAGCCGCTGTTAGTTTGCCCAAGTCCATTTAAAGTCTCAGACATCTTAAACTTGGGAAACTCTTCTGATGAGTTTACACAAATAGGGCATCCATGGTTCCGAATAGTGTAACAAATGAGCTTTCCCTTTATTCCCAACTAACTCTTTCAGGAGGTCCTTTCTTTCCTCTCTTTTATCTAGTTATTTACTTAATTGAACATTTACTACTTTATTTTTGTTTCATAGGCTCTGTTCAATATTATCTATTATCTAATTTGGGGACATAGTGTACAAGGATTGTTAGAATGCATAACTCTTTTTTTTTTTTTTTTTTTTTTTTTTGTGGTTCTTTTTGTGTGTGTGTATCATTTTGATTGTGCATTGTGTGTTTTAATTTGATGTCATTTTTTGTGCAATTTCTGCATAAGTCAATAAACAAATTTGGGGGGAAAAAAAGAAAAAGTCCCCAGACATGAGAACGAACAGCCCAGTGCATACCGACATACCAGGCTGATGGTTGGCGCCCATGTGCACGACCCCAGTGCGGAGCCCACCCAGGACTGTCCAGCTCCGCCATGGCCACCTTCTGCCTTCCTGCCCGGCCCTGGCTCCGGATCAGAGGCAGGCTACATGTCGGGGGACAGGCATAATGATGGCTACAACCGGGCCATCCCTTTCAAGCCTCACCCAGGAGTGCTATTTGGACTAATGCTATTTCCTGCAGATAAGAGGTCTTTTTACTTATTTGTCTTCATCAGAGTTGGGAGGTTGTGGAAAAAACACACATATAATTCAGAGTGAATTCCTCATGATCATTAACAGGTTGATATAGATTAGCTAATTTGTTCATTTTGTGGTATATACCATATATTTTACTGTATGGGACAACATTTTCTCAATATATCACTTACAATTCCTTGCTTTATTTTCCTCAATCCAGATATCTCATCAGATTATGTGACCTCCACCAGGACTTAAGTAGCCTAATGATGCGTGTGTTATGTGGTTACTTTACTCATCCGAGACGTTAATAATAGTTTCCAGCTTTGAAATAAGATTCTAGATAGCCAGCTACATGTGTTCTGGGCTGTATTTTTCATGTTCATTTTTTGGTTTGGCTCACAACCCCTGGCTATTTTGAATGCTAATTGGAACAATAATAGAAATCTGTACAATCGTGGTTTGAAAGCACCCACTGGTTTGGCCTGTGATTGTGGACAGGACTGCATAATTATGAAGCATGGATGATTTCCTATTTTGATTAGCAGTTTTGCATTATGACCCAAGTACTCAGCTGTCTCACACTTGAATACCATACAGTACTAATTATGCTTTTGTGTGTTTTAATCTGGGTTGATTTGTTAATGTTTGTTATGTTTTCTACTGTAATAAAAGTGATGTACAAAATCACTCTTCAAAAATATTCTTAAAGGCTGCTTTTTACATTTTAGATCCATACAGAAGATATCAAATATATGAAGTAAGGTATATAGAATTACATAGCAAAGAAAAAATAAATATATATGTGTGTGTGTGGGGGGGTGTGCACGTGTGCACGTGTGCACGTGTGCGTGTATTTAAAAAGGAGTCAAAAAGCAGTAAAAATGAAGAAAAAAATGTTGACGTTTTGGTTGTATAAATTATTGTAAACCACTGTCTTTATTGAGATATTACTGATTTGTCTGCAATGTTCCACAATGGCAGAAAGCTTATCTTTCATGCATGTTTATGTATCACCTGTTTCTTAAATGTGAATTGATTCCAAGCACCCCCTTAGTAAGTGCTGACATAACCCCAGGTTTTTTGTACCTCTGGTTGGGGTGCAGTTTACATTTAAACAAGAATTTCTCAAATTAAACATGCTGTAGACATGGATATGATTTTAGGAATCTGCACAAAATAATCTAAATACTGATAAAAGAAACTAATTATTTGTTTCCATGAGGATATATTTGCAGGAATACAATATTTCTGTTGGTATTTTCTAAAAAATGTCACAAATGGACTTCCTGTCTGAAGAATGCGTGCGTCATGAAGTAGCAGCTGGCCACAGTGAGTGAGCGCTCTGTCCATGTGCCTCCTCTTTGTATCTAGGATTTTTTCTGAGGCTCACTGTGCTTAAGGCCAGTGGTGTCGTCAGCAGCTCTGCGTGATGTGAAGATGGCCGACCACACATCCGTCCACGTGCCCCTGATCACAATCATTCATAAAGTCAGTGAGCCCCACCCTATACTGGCCCTTATCTGTGTTCCAGCCTTCTCTGTGGACATTAGCAAGCAATGGGAAGTCCCAGCAAATGTAAACACACTCAGTAGGTTTATATGTATGGCTTAGTCACACTATTCTCTATTCATTGAAAACTAATCTGATAAAGGGTCAAACCTCCTTGCAGTGACTCAGGTTGTTGTGTCCTTAGGCAAAACACCTCTTGAATGTTTTGTGAATGAATGTGGTCAGTGTGTGGATCAGTAGTAGGTGGAAGGGCTGATGGTGTAGGGTGGCCGTATCTATTTGTTTTTCTATTTACTTAACACTATACATATAAACAGGATTATTAAACACAAACAATTATCACAAGGGAGACAGGTTACAGCACTACACTACATTACAGCTCAGATCTGTCAGGAGTCAGACTTATTCACAGAAGCAATTATTGTATTTTTGAGCAATAATTAATAAATGCTAGATAGTTATGTTTAATGTCATACCATGGAATATTCCAACCAAAGCAATATCATCTCCATGGAGTCAAGTATATAGCAAACCCTCCACCAAAAAAGTTGCACAGTGCACCTTTAAGTGTAGATTTTATTGTGCATTTGCTTATGCTTGTACTTTTATCTCTTTTTAAACTCCTGTGTATGGTTATAGGCCAACACTGCAAGTGTACACCTTCACAGCTGTAGTTGAAGTTGTAGTTGTGTTTTTCACATTACTTCACCACTTATTTATAGTGGCCTATACAAGAGCAGGCAAAGGGTGTGCCGACTCAGACTCCAACTGTAAGACTTATCAGCTGCAAACAGAGTGAAAAAATACCTGATAGGCGTGAAAGTATAAATCAAACAAAACAATAATATGCATGAGGAAGTGATGTGTAGATTTATGGATTAACTTTAACTGTAGCTGGAAATCCAAGGAATGTTGTTCTGTATAAACATTCGTGTTTAATGAGGTAATTATAGCATACATGGATTTAACTGTCACCTGAGTTTTGTATCTTGTTTTACCTCAAGCAAGGGAAGCTCTCTTGCCAACACTGCACCAGTTTTCCTAGTGTGTAACTGTCATTCCCTGATTACCAGTATACAGCAAACTTCACTTTCTAACCAGTAAGTCCAGCCTGCAGCTACATCACCAACGCCTTTTTCTTTGTTTATTTAGTTATTTTAATACTGTGACATTACATTACTTAAGCTTTTGTGCTGTCCGGAAATATTGGTTTGATGTGATCAATTTAATTAATTTATCTCACTGATTTAAAGTTGAATATAATTTTATCTGTTAAAAAGTAAAGAAATAAAAAATATAAATAAATAAAACAAATTAAAAAATAAATAATTTATCATCCACAACCCCCTCTGAAAACACATACAATAAAAAACACAATATATTTCAACTTTCAGCTACCAGCTTCTCTTTATTACACTTTCTTAGGGAGAAAGTATCATCCTCCAAAACCTTAACTGTTAATTTGTTGTCAGAGCATATTATTTTTATTTTTATTTATTTTAATTTAATTTAATTTAATTTTTTTACCATGAGTTTATTGTATAGAAAATATAGGTCTGTATCCAAATATGTCATATGTTGCTATTTGCTTCTGCACTCACATGTTCTGTAGACAAGGATATGTAAAAGGGATTCTCTGCGCGTTCGGTTTGCAAAGAAATGTTTTGGGGTTTTTTTCTGAGAAGAAGTGCTTGTATCTGTATGTGTTCTGTAAAGTGTGAACAAAGAGTTGCTAAAGTCTATGTGCATGAGTCAGTTGAATTTCCACTGAGGTAAGCTGTCACAATGGCTTATATGCGCAGTCACACTCACTATAACAGCACAGTACCTCAAACCTCAGGAGACACAGGGCATTTCCAAATGCATTGATAAATTTGGACAATAATTCTTAAAGGTGCATTGTGTAACAAATGCTTTTCTTTGGTATTAAACCTTTCTATAATCATGGAGACCAAACCAGACAAAGTTACAGGTCAGATCAGTGGAGACCTCGCTCACAGTCTGTATGCATGTGTTTCTAGGTATTTTTGATCTAAAACCACCTAGAATTTAATAAACCTACTGAAATCACTGAAATTATAACTTTATTTTCCATTTTTATTATGTTTTGTTATGTTGTGCCTCTTTCATGGTGGTTAATAATGATAATAATCATAATGGTGTGGATAAGAGTGTCTTTTTTGCTTCATTCTTTGGCCACAGGAAGTGACATTGATGACAAAGGGAAGTGAGTTCTGACCCATAACCGTTGCTCTTTGCATTGAAAGCTGTGGTGCAGTTGGTGTGTACCTTTGGGCACACAAACAGAGTGTGAGCTTGGCCTTGTCTTTGCCCACACTGGCCCTCTGTAGTGAGTAGCTTCACTCGAGTGTATGAGCTCCAGCTAACAGCCTTTCACACTTCCTCCTTACTGTCTGTGCTGGCTGAGGCTTCCTTCCTCCTGACATTGGGCTCTGTGGGGGAGACGGGGGGGGGGGTCAAGATGGCCGGACGTGCTCCAATCACACAGACAAGGAACAGGCCACTACTGCTACTGTCCACAGTCATCCGGAGCCACCAGCACATGACATCATTCCTGTTTGGACAACAGGAAGAGCAGAGAGCAGAGGTGCTGAGCAGTGAACATGCTCTAGTTTTACTCACTCACAGGATTCAAAGACCACGGTAAAACAATGCCTCTGTCCAAACTGGTCCAAGGAACTTCCTCGTAAGTTGACAGGATTTCTTGGTAAAGGCTGAGTGTACCAGCTGTGCTGTGCAGTACAGTTGGGTACACTTGCCTGTGCTGATCGATAATGAGTCTGCTGTGAGTGAGGCTGTAGCAGCAGCTGCACAGCTGTCCTGCAGCACTGATCCTTTCAGAGATCCTCTTTACTCCTGCCTGACTTCTGCTGTCCACATCCGCCTCTGGAGCTGCACAGCAGGCATCATCTGTCTGTCTGGGCCTGCTTTTGACTTCTCGCTCATTCTTTCCAAGTCAAATTGTCCATCTGTCTCCACTGTTTCTCCACTGTTCCCTGCGTGCTCATTCTCACCCAGCTATTCTGCTGCTGTCTCCAGTGCCACATCTCAAGATGGACTTTCCTGTTTCTTTTGGGTGCTGTTGTAGCCTTTCTTTCTTTTGCCCAATGCGTCCCTTCTGTCCCTGTGTTCTGTGGAGACCATTCCTCTTTTGCGCCTTTGTCAGAGGCATGTTTCAGTTTCTCTGCTCCGGCCCCGTTTTGCCACTCGCTCTTATTTCTTCACAATTTCCATCTCGCCCTTTGTAACTCTCTTGCAATCAAAAGTATGCCCCTTCTTTGCCCCTATACTGTATCTTTTCTTCCCATTTCTTTGGCCTAACTTCTCATTCTGCAGTATTTTTTTCACAGGTGTCTGTAAGGCGGGGATTTACATTTTCTCAGGACAGGCAGCCGTGGAGAGAGGCCTGCTGGCAGATCAAAGACTGCGGCTGTAAAACGATCTGAAAGAGTCCGGCATTAGCATCCATCAGGGTACCTTGAAAGCTCCCTGGTCAGCCGGGAGGGAGGCTGAGGCCCCCCAAAGTGAAAGCCCAGTCTGGAGCGGGGTAATCGGCGCAGGGAGGAGGAAGGCTGTATAGAGGGACAGAGAAGGGATGAATAACTGGAGACTTGGTTAAAAACATAAAGGAACTATTTCCAGGAGGGAGGAAAATTCCCATAACAAGCTGCAAATGTTTGTATTCCTCCTGCGCGTGGCCCCCCTCGTCTCTTCCTCTCTGGGTCTTCCGCTATCCATCAGATTTCTCCTTTACTGCTCTGCGCCTGTAAGCGGAGAACATCTCCATCTGTGCACCATCTCCACTGAGAGCACCGGGCCTAGACGTTTACAGCTCCACCCTGCACACTGTACTCAGGGTCACGTCTGGTCACCATGGGAACACTGAGGAGAAGAACGGGGGTGTGGGAAGAAGACGGCCCATGTTATTAATGAAAGGGACTCTAGGTTTCTTTAGGTGCATGTGTAATGATAACAATAATAGTCTTGAATTTACAAAGCACCTTTCAAGACACCCAAAGTTCTATACATTGTTTTATTTATTTACTTTACACTTGCCTTGGGGCAGACTGACAGAAGTGAGGCTGCAAGTTTGTGCCACTGGCCCCTCTGACTGTCATCACCACTCACACACATCTCTTTTATACTAGGCAATGTGGACAGTATACACATTTCTATGATTGTGCTATATATTGTTGTATGACAGAGAATTACACTCCTTCACCAAACCATCTAAAGCACACTTTGATATGATGCTAGTTGTTGCAGCATCAAATACTAAAGCATTCAGTGTACGTTTCATAACCCTTTCTCCGCTGAACATTTGTCATTCAATTTGCATTCATTATGACCTGCATATTTTAGTTGGTTTACTGAATGCTAACATGTCTCCATCCATTCTTCTCTCTAGCATCGTCCCACTGCAGAGTTCGATGAGGTCTGTATTTGCAGAATGGTCAGCAGGCCACTGTTTGAGCCTAATGGACGTCACATTTCGAGACACAGACAGAGGGCGACAGAAGGAAACAGAGCTGTCCAGTGCAGGGATGAGTTCCTCCTCTGTTTAGGAAAAAGGATGTGATCTCACAAGTTAAAAATCCAACGTATGTCGCTTGCCACTCATGACTTAATCCAGGCTTCTCTTTGTGCACAGCGCCCTCCCCTTCTCCTCTCTCGCTCTCACTCTCTCCAGCTCCTCCTCTTATTATCTGTGGGTACAGTGCAGCGTACGTCTGTTTGTAGGTTCATTTTTACATGTAACCACATAATTGATGATTTTAGTAAGTATAACATTAGTAACTGCAGTTTAGTTCAATTAGTTTAAATAAAATAATCATATGAAACGTTAATGACTTTCAGGTATGTTGTTGAATCTTTTGTCTCACTGTATGTTTTTTCTTCTTTTTATCTTCTTGCATTTCAGTTCAGTAATATTTAAAGCAGATCTATTATGCAAAATCAACTTTTTAGAGCTTGAAACAACCATGTTATAGTTGTTTCTCCTTCTTATTTACGCTCTCTTGTATTTAGTGTGATTCAGGCATGTTTGAGTTATCTTTATTCTCCTGTTTTCAAGACGTCATTGCTCCGTCAACCCCAGTTTTCTGTGCCACTGGTACGTGACCACTGCTCTACTGAATTTGCTAAATGGTGATATGAGTAGGGTTTGGCATCTTGGTACCAATGAAAAAATATCCACTACTTGCTGGCGTGATGTGCAGCTATTCATTGGAGGTGGTGACAACTGTGTGGATCTTTGTTGTGATGACATTTTTGGTGACAACAGCTCCCATTGAGTAACTCAGTGGACAACAGCAGACACAAGCACAAAGTGTCTTTTTTAACACCTTGCTTTATACTTAGTGCTTAGTTGTTTCATAATGATGTGTTACTTTATAGTACTTTGATTTAGAGTCCTCACAGTTTCTTTGTTGAAGCCGGTCATATAAAAAACTATAATTGCTGGAAATATTCCCATACTTTATTTTATTCACACATGATTAGATTTTTTCAGCTTTAAATGTAATGTCTAACAGTGGGAATGGGCGTAGGACTTTCTTAAAACCAGACAATAGTGTTGACAGCCAAAATGACAGTGTCCACTAATCTGAGCGCTTCCTGGTCTAACTGTATGAAGCCAGCAGCCTGTTGATGTTTTTGTGTCTTATTTTGGTGTGCAGCAGCTGTGATGTGTCTTGACTGTGGTCACATTTACCGTAACTCCCAAACCTATAGAAGCCACCAAAAACATCCAAGCATTCTTAGTTTCCTGACAAATAACTGGTGTTTTGTGCAGAGGGCATGTTGTTTACACAGGACCAGTTTGTGGTAAAATGTATGTTTTTTTTTTTACATAGCACAGGTGGATGCAAGCCTCATTAGTCTGGTTTGCATGTCTTTTTTTTCCCCTCTGTCTGCTGAACTGAACTTGTGTTAAATCATACGCATAGAGAAACACAGTAGGAAAAATACATACTCACAGGTTATTTGTATGTGTAAGAAGTTTTACAAATCTGTTTTTTACGTTGCTGTCTGTGCAATCATTTCCTTATTGTGTGGGTTGAGCTATCATACCTACTAACCAACTTCAACCTCACAGTCCAACCTGAGTAACTGGACCAGCCTGATCTCTAATTGATTACAAGAGCATCAACTGTGTGTATGCCAAGTCTAAAGAGAAAATGAAAGTGACCATAGTGAATGCAGATTTGGAGTTAATGATAACGATAACGTGGTGTGTAGGAGGTTTTGGATAAAGGCATTGACCACACAGTGTGCCCTCATCCACATGCTCATAGCTCTGAGGAATTTGTCTCACCGTGGTCCTTATCAGGTGCTGGGTGTGTTTTGTCTGAAGAGGGCTCGCTGTTACCACTGACAAGTTTTCGGATATATACACCTTCGTCTATAGTACCCCTCTCATCCTGTGACTGATTGTGCAATGTGTATATATGCTACCAGGCAAATGTCTGAACACACCCTCTCATTCAAGGTTTTTTTCTTTGTCTTCACTGCTTTCTATATTTTATATACTATACATACAGAAAACATCAAATATATGAAGTAACACATATAAAGTTATGTAGAAAAGAACATTTGATGTAACTTTACTCAGTATATATATATTTATATATATATTTTTATATATATATTTTACATTCAGATCTTATGTTCAGTATATAAAATGTAGAAAATTAAATAATAAGAAAAAAAATATTAAATGAGAGTGTATGTCCAAACTTTTGACATGGCATTTCATTCAATTATATATATATATATATATATATATATATATATATATATATATATATATATATATATATATATATATATATATATATATATATATATATATATATATTATATTTTTATTTTATTTTTTTTTTTGCGACTTTCTATATGTTAGATACAAATGGAAGACAACAAATATATGACAACAAATATATGAAACAAGACATATGGAGTTATGTAGTACAAAAAAAGGAACTAAATAACTACTAAATATTTTTCAACTAAGCAAATGGTGGTTACTTTGAGGATTTGAATATAACATATATATTTAACAAAAATATATTAGTATTATTAGAGTTATTAAACTTTCTTTTCTTTACTACATAAATGTCTTCTATGCGTATATAAAATGTAGAAAGTAATCAAAATAAAGAGAAAAAAAGATCGAATGAGATGGTGTCTGAACTTTTGACTGGTTGTGTACGTGGTGTTCATGCTGTAGAATTTGATGGTGTCATAGTTTCAGATGGAGGGCAGAGATCAAAATTCTTCTATGGGTGTTTTTGGAAGAAATATCCAAATATCTTATGAGTGGGTTTGAGACTAGGTCCACAAAGTTGCCATATTAATATTATGGCCCTTTCGAATGGAAACAATCCAGTCTTTGCGGTTGGATAATAGAACCACTTTCTGAAAGTATTGTGAAAAATTATTTCACTTTTGTTTATTTATGTTGACAGAGAAAACACTGAACTTTGTGACAGTTTTTGTTTCATGTAGACAGGCCCAGTAATTACAGAGTTATTCATCATGAATCATTTTGACAAATCTGAAACCTGACAGGTAAACGGTCAATTCCCACCATATTGTTCTTGAATATTTGTTAATTAACTGTTTATAAACTATTTGTTTTTGTTTTGTTTGTTTTTTCTTCACATTAACACAACCTATTGTTGAGGTTTATTGTTGAAAATTGTTCAACATACTGCATTATTGACTCTTGTGAGCTTAAAGCCATGTTATAATGTTGTTATTTAATCAAAAACATACCTGGAGTTGTGTTTTATTTCTTTCACAAATGTTAAAGTAACCCTTTATTATTAGTCTGGCTACATTTAAGCTCAAAATGGTCTGTTCCACCTTATGATGTCATAAAGTGGTAGTTTTCAAGTTAACAACTCCTTTTATCTTTTGTTCAGTAAAGATGAACAGTTCCAGGGCTGAAAACATACACCTTCACTAAAATCATTCGGATAGTGTTTAAAAGTACTGTTTTGTTTTGGGTTTTTTGTTTGTTTGTTTGTTTGTTTGTTTCGTTTTTTGTTTTGTTTTGGTCTTGTTTTTTCTTTTAGTTTATTTATTTTTTGTTTGTTTGTTTTGTAAAGCACAGTGGAGCACTTCCTGTTTTACCACATGACATCACAATTTTCAGACAGCAATAAGTCATGTTTTGTGTGCTTTGTGCTACAATTCCAAGCCTGTATAAGTCACAATGCATAAAATCAAATGCTAAATAAATATAGCAATCACTTTATAAAATTGAGCAGATTATGTTTTGACTGTAGATAATTGCATGTCTGTAAAGTTAAAGGGCCCATATTATCCTATTTTCT